TTCAGTTTTGTGCTATTTTGTCCCTAATGCTCTCTAACTTGCAATATGCGTGTTGAATATACAATGATTCAATTTGTTTTGCAGCTACGCCGTAGAATACGATTTAATATACTTGAAAGGCTAAAACCATGAAGGAAATAAATCTTTCCGTACTATTTCCTGTGGCCTTGCGTCAAAACCTTTGCAAAGAGTTACCTATTAATAATTAAGTACTTCATATGAGAATATTTTAACCAAAAAGATTTATGATATGCATATTTAAAATTTTCTCGTTAGTAGATTTAAGAGATGCATGGATATACACTTATACACGTTTGATTATCTTAAAAATTTCAACTACGTAAGCATTTGCTATAAACTTAATTTCCTCATGCATAAACCTTTTCTTTCTTTCTTTTTCCAAGTATCTAGCTACCTATATAGTGCAATATTTACACAAGATCTGTGCACAACCTAACATTAAACTTTACTTATGGAAATGCACCTCTTTTATACGTTCAAAAAATTAAGTAATGAGAAAGTCTTTTACTACTACTAAAAACATATTGGAGCCTTTCTAATGAATCCCTCTCTCAAAATAGTACCAAGTTCCCAATAATGTCTAACAATCTTAATAGTTAGCATCATAAAGACAAGACTGCCTAGATTTATTTGGCAATACCTAAAACCCTACCATTTCCCAATTTCACCACCCACCCTTCCTTGCAAACCTTCCATTTTGTACACCAAGCAAAACTTCTATAATCCTTAGGGCACACTAGAGAAAAAACCTATATATATCAGGACTATAAATGTCTATGTCCAAGTATCAAATATCTATTTCTCATACACTCTAAGAAATTGACTTCAAAGACCTGAAATCCGTGAAAACAGTAGGATGGCATCCTGTTTTGGCCTTTTTGGTCGAGGCCCTGAAAGAGCTCGAAGGCAGCCTAATGATCGCAACATTCCTGCTTCTGGCCTTGTACCTCAACCAGCTATCAAGAGGCCTAGAACTGAATTTTCAAGGAAACCCAATAGAAAATACGTTGCTTCAAGTTCGCAGGATCAATCTGGTCATTCAGGATCTTCTAAGGGGAATGAAATTGCTGAAGTCCCTTGTCTGTGCTCTCAACCGCTCTCAGAATTTGAAGTTCCTGGGGCTATCCCTGATGTTGATTATACTCTATGGAATGTAAGTCTTGATGAAAAATTTTTCAAAGGTGGCCCCAGTATTGAGGAGTGGTGTAGGTCATGCAAGAAAAAAATGAAGTACCAGTGCTAAGGGCACACTTATTTGCGTGCAGTTTACAAATATATTAAATTTTATTTCATATCGAAAATTTTCTTTATTGAATTGATAGTTTTCTTGGTAGATATGTCTAGGGGCAACTATGTTGGCAACATGTTCTGAAGTAGTTATGGTAAAAATTATGTTGGTTATATTGTGATAACAAAAATAGAAGTTTATAAAGTGGCAAAATATGTTTATATGATGCCCCTCCTCTCACTTTATATGTAGTATAGATACTTTTTTTATTTCCTGATTTGCTTTAGTTGCAATACGATTTTTTGTTTTTTCATCGATTAATGTTGTTATCAATTTAATTTATAACAGGTTAATGATATTATGATTCTATTCGATTTGAGTGTGAATAAGGTATGGCCATCCGTACCAAGTCTCGTTCTTTACTAAAGTTTAATAGGAATGAACCTGATCGTTATCGGATTAGTATTTCTTTACTTTTGGGAGGATAAAAACAAATGTGGGTGGATTACCAATGGGTAATATGTTAGGGTTTGATATTGATGAGAAGTAATTGAAGAATAATTTGATAGAATTTGGTAAGAAAATCCTAAAAACTTGAAACCCAAAACTCCACACACACACATATATATATATGTATACATATGTATGTGTGTGTGTATATATATATGTATATATGTATGTATGTATGTGTGTGTGTATATGTATATTACGCACGCATATGTTATGACTTAATTTGATCATCCAATAATGATAAAACAATCATATGATTCTTTAAAACCATAAAATGTCTAACTTGGAGAATGCCTTTTATTTTTCTAATGGATGACTAATGGGCACTCATTAACGTATATAAATTACATTTAAATTATTATCTAAATATACACTTACATTTATTATACCTCCTGAACTGTGACACTTTTCCGAATTAACTACATTTTCTAAAAAAAATTAATATCTGAATTCCCTCTTATAGAGTGCCCAATCGACACTCGCTAGCCAAACCATTCTTAAAATAACAATGTAATTAGGCATATAATGTGCAGAAACAACCACTTGTAAATGAGATTTTTAAGAGACTAAGGCCTCATTTAGGGTTGCGATACTTTTAATAATAAAAAAAAAACACTTTTAGGTGCTAAAAGTACTTTTAAGATATTTGGTGAACATTATCCCATAAAATTAAAAGTAGAGTTTTTGGTGTTAAAAGCACATTTAGCAAAAACTCAAAATTGGTACTTTTAGAGTAGCTTTTGTGATTTAAAAAATAAAACAGTATATTTAATCATTTTATGTTATATTCTGAACTAAATAAAGAGATAAATACATTTAAAATTTTCAAATTTATGCATTATTCAATACAAGAAGTATTTATTGAACTAATTTCTCCAAGCAACATACTTAAAAGCACTTAAGCACTTAATAAGTACTTTTATTAAAACCTCTATTGGAAAAATACTTTTCAATAAGTTACTGCAACCCTAAACGTGCCCTAAATGTCCCATATACATGTTCCAAGGATTTTCAATTATATTAATAAGATTTTGTGCCACTCCACTCACTGTCAATTAATTTTGAAATGGGTGCCTAAATTCTTTATCATGATACCAAGAGTTGGGTCTTGGGTTTTTTAGTTACCCCATTTGTAAGCCCAATTTCTTTATTAGTAATTAACCTTTTAAAAAAAAAAAAAGTACTACATTGATTTTATCTTATATAAATAAAGGTACAAAATGGACTTCATCGGCACTTAGACAAAATAAGGAGGTGGAGAGCCTATAGGTTGAACTAGAGCAAATTACCCAAGTAACCACTAAACTTTTCGAATAATCAAGTTTTGGCCACTTGATTATTAATAGTATGTTTTTATCTATTGAACTATCAAAAGTGTAAATTTTGGTCCATTTCATCTGATTTAACGGTTAACTTTATCAAATTTAACTATTTATAGTATATCTTGTGAATCCTATGAACCCTAAATTTGGTAGAGTTAACGGTGGAATTAGACTGGATGGCCCAAAATTTACACATTTGATAATTCAGTGGATAAAACATACTATTAATAATTGAGTGGTCACATATTGACTATTCAAAAAATTCAATGACTACCAGGTAATTTGCTCGTTGAACAAACAACTTTATCATGCCATGTTTAATTAGTTCAAGATCTCTTGATATTGTCACAATTAGTTTTCAAATGACTATTAGACTTAGTTAATGTTTCATTTCATAATTTGAAATAGGAAATTATTAGAAGTACAATAATGAAATATACACCATCAAAAGCACAACCACCCACATAAGAGTGGACAACTATCTCACAATTGGTGGCAACTATATTAAAACATGGTCCACAATGAACCTTATTCAGGACACATCGGGACATCAACCATGGGCCGTTTAGTTTATTCCTAGAAGAATAGCTTTTCTTCTTAAAAGAAAATGTCATATTTAAATAGCATATGCTGCATATCGTCCCAATCAGCCTTCAAAAGTTTCCAAGTTATTACTTGAAGTGATTGACTTTCCAAGTGAAATTTGTCCTATTAACTTCCATATTGTGACAGAGAGATAGATCCTACAGTTGTTGTGTATTTGTGTCCTTTTCCATGGATTCGCTTATGTACAAATACTTGTCTTCAAATGCATCCGATCAAGTATGATTCGCGACTTATGGTACATGGTGATCAGTAATTCCTCAATAGTCAATTTTTGTTGCTACAAACGGATAACTAGGCTTCTTGATCTTACAAAAAAATGAATCTTGGATAACCAAAGTTTTCCTTTCTTTTTTATTTTTAGGTCTGGATAATAGGAAGGAGATGGTACCAACCAGTGAAAAATCTTGAAAAAATGAAATTAATTGAAAAAGAAACATTTGGAAATAAAATCCCTTGAGCATAAATCTAGAAACTGATACCATAAGTCCTCAATAACCAATTTAATTAGTAGGGATATTAGCCAGGTGGTAGAGAGCCCTATGATTCAATTATCAAACCTTACCCTTTCTCTGGTAAGATTTAGAGGCTTCCATTGAATAAAAACAAAATAATAATCATAATCATAACAATAAAAGAAAATCTGGAAAACTTTTCTATAATTTGCAATTAGGCCCTTAACATATCCAACAACTGCAATTTGACATCCATAAACTATCCATCAAAACCGATGAAAATGTAGAAAATCTATTGAATCACCTTTCAGCTTCATAGAATTGACTGTATCATAGCTTGAATAGATTTAAGAGATATATATTTATACCTCTAAGTTCAGAACGTTCATAATTCAACCCCCAAACTCTTGGATAAAGTCAAGCAAGAGCCATAAAATCCAAAAATCTACTGAAAAGACACCCACAAGTTTATGTATTTTTGAGCCTATTACTTCTCAAAGTATGTGAGTGTGATTCCACACTAATACTTGAAAAATTGATACAAAAGTGAGATTGCAAATTGTCTATCTAGACATGGACCATGATACAAAAGTGTACAATTTTTTTGTTTTTTTACATTAACAGGTGTGGATCATGCCACATCAAATGAATTCAAATCATGCGCATGTGTCATGCATTCAAAGCTATTAGTATAAAAAAAATTCACTACACTGTCAATACATAAAAAATTAATCCCTTGTAATATACTTAGATTTATAAGAAATGAAAGGAGTGATTCCCATTCATCAAACATATAATCCATTAAAAATATCAAAATCACATGAAATGGAATACTAAAGAGGACAAACTCATGAAGATTCTTCAGATAGTAGTTTTAGTAACACCATCTCCAAGCTCATTCACGAATGTCCTAAGATTCATGTTAGATGGACCTCCATCTTTGGCAGCTTCTCTAGCCAAGCCCTGCCATTTTTTAGCATTGATTCTCATTTCTTCACCTATCTTTCCACCATCCATGACAAGCTCTATGCATCTCTTAATTTCATTAGCCTCAAAAACTCCTCCATCATTTGCAATAGCTCTTACACCAATCTTCCAAACATCTTGAATAAACTTTGCATTTGTAGCTTGATCATTCCAAAGTGGAACTGCCACAACGGGTACCCCAGCAACCATACTCTCCAAAGATGAATTCCATCCACAATGAGTCACAAAACATCCCACACAAGGGTGTGATAGAACCTCCATTTGTGAACACCATGGAACTATCATTCCTTGCTTTTCCAATTCATCTTTACAGCTTAACTTCTCCTCCAATTTCTCACCACTATATGATGTTCTAATCACCCACAAAAATGTCTTCTGGCTTTCCAACAAACCATGTGCAATCTGCTCCATCTGTTTCATAGACAATTCTGAGTAGCTCCCAAATGCTACATAAACCAAAGATCCCTCATGCTTCGAATTCATCCATTTGACATAATCTTTCAATGTAGGCAGCATATCACCTCCAAAAGAAACACCCAAAGGATATTTACCATCCAAAAATTCTGAAGGGACTAAAGGCCCTATAGCCATCATTTTAAACTTCTTCATAGCCCTTAAAGCCTCATACTCTAGACCATCAAAACTGTTTACAAGAATTGTAGCATTTTCTTCCTTTTCAAGCAGCTGTAGATGGTCCTTCAGCTCTCTTACAGCAATCCTGTTCACTTCAGGGGAGGGATCCAGCAAGAAGGAGGGTAAATCACAATCACTGAGCAATGGCAGCCATGTTAATTCAATGATATCGCCTCTCATAAAGTTTTCAATTTTCTCCCTGTATCCATTGAAATAATAGAAGTATATATCCAAAACAGCAGCAGGTTGAATCCAGAAAAAGGTGGCTGAAATTCCATATTCATAACAAATTTTAAGTACCCAAGACATGAATGGAGTGTAGACCACATGAGTGATCGGATGGCACTCATTGGCTTTGGCCATGATAAGTTCCTTAATGGCATGAGAACCATTAGAAATCAGAGAAGAGATAAAATCTCCAATATCATCATAACCCCAGGCAAAGCCACTGTCATAGCCATCAGAGAAAGGAACAATGCTTAAATCTTCTGGCAATGAACCGGCTAGTTTGACCATGCTTCGAGTTGCTGAAATACTAGTTGAAAAGGTGACTTTCTTGACTCCCATTTTGAGTAGGGATTTGGCTAATTGAAGGGCTGGATTGATTTGTCCTTGCCCTGGAAAGGTTACCAGGAGAGTATGGCAATAGGCCATGTTTTTGTTGGCCAGCTACAAGTTATTGTAATTGAAATTTTTCAGGGGATTCTTGTGAAAGGTTGATTGTTCTAGTAGTCAGCTATATAGAAGCTAGGATTTGTCTAAACTCGTCTAACAACTGCGGGCCCAATGGTGGATGGCCACTTGTTAAAAGGACTCTAGTGGCTGTCTTTAGGTAAAAAGAAAAAAAATGAATTCAAATCAGAACAAGTGCTTGAAATGAGGTATAAAACGTGAGTATTTACATTTGAATGAAAATTTGTGTGTAAGTTATCTTTGACTACTAATTAGTGTCTAGTTAACAGTGGTTGGATCAAGTGGTAAGAAATTTGATACCTTTTAAATAAAGTAAAACTATCCTCGAAAAAAATCAAATGGCAAGAAACTTGATACCCCTTAAATAAAGCTATTCTGAAAAGAAATTTGACCGTATTCAACTCCAGATAATTAGATCACGAAAGTGGACGACACAACTCATTGATGGTAGGGTATGATTAGCATTAGATCATAAATGGCAGTATCACGTAAAGCATTTGACTATTTAAGTTTGTGGTTGAATTGAATAGATCACTCTTTCATACATTGAATCCGAATTTTTCCTGTGAAGACAACCGGCAACTGAGTGCAGAAAGAAAACTGAATCCGACGTAGGAAATATTACAGCCAAATTTTTCCACCGATGGGAGAAATTGAGGGTTCGATGAATTGATCTCAATTTTAATTGTGCTGATAATCTCTGCATTTATTAGATGAATGACCCTTATTATGCCATGATCACTACTAAACTTGACTAACACTCAAAAGTGTCGAAATGATGGTGCATTAGTTATAAGTGCATGTATTCATATAGTAAATTTAGTGTAATTTAGGTGTACTAACGATTAGTAAGTGTTCTAAGAAATCCTAATTCCTTTTACCTATACATGAACCATGAAATTTAATTAATCACCTGCGAAATTTTTGTTAGATTTTGAAAACTTAATTTTGTGTGTTTTGAATTAGTTAAACAATAAGAATGTAAGTAATCTAACTTATTACAAATCTCCAAACGGATAAGGAGCTTTTACATTAATAAGATAGCCAACGGGAAGGAATCAAAACTAAGCAGTTTTTAGTATTAAAATTGTCTAATAATTTCATCTTTAATTGTGTCAAGAGATGCAGAGTCATCGACATTATCTGGCATGCCAAGGATCACCTATAAAGTACGTAAATAGAGATGATGCTTCTCCAGAAGTGAGTGCTAGATCATGGTTTTGGTATCCGGAAGAGGAACTATGCTAACGAAGTCACACATGTAGGTCGTTTTTTATGTTGCTTAGAATAAACGACTTTAAACGTCCTTTAAGGCTTTCACTTTCACTCAATATTCTATTCAGTCCCTTGATTTCAAAAAGGGCTAAGTTACTAATTAAACTTGGACACTTTTTTCTTTTTGGTTAGATAGTGTGTTTATTAAGTCGTAATAGTATATGATGGAAAGAATATAAAAACTTACTTTATAATCTACATGAAACACATCACAATGAAATGAAGAAAGCAAATGCGTTGCAAAATTTGACTTGAAATTTTGTCATGTTTGCATCATTTCTTAGTATTTCAACAGCTCTTTTCTCCTTTCAAATTTATTTATTTTTAAGTAGTCTTCATCTTCATTGCCTGGCGAGAGGATTCGAGATTGTCTTCTTTGCCTCAAACATGGAAATTTGGTTTTAAGTGGTCCTTCTCCATATTTCCAATCAAATTCCTATAAAAAAAAACTATAATATTGTAGATAATTAAATATAGGAGATAAATAGATATCTTCCGTCTTTAAGGCTCAATCTTATACAACTCCTAATGGAGAGAAAGCGGGGAGCGATGAATTAGCTGATACGAGGAGTAAATATAAGTAAAAGATCTGGAACTCGAGTAATCGAAACCTCTGATTCACACTAAAAAAAATAAAACAGACCCAATCCACCAGCACTATTTATGGTTTTGCCCATAATAGGCCAATGGAAAAGCGTGGCTAGGAAATGTTCTGTTGCTTTTGTGACTCCATCCGCTGTAAAAGTATTTAGGTGCAGAACATGTTGGCTGCTCGGAAGCTAAAGACACAAAAGTACTTGTGATGCATTTTTTAACAAGTCAACTACATATGATGCTGATGAAACTACTAGTTTGACGGCTGTCGGGAACAAGATCGATTATGGGGTAGTATACGAATACTTCCAAGGAGTGTAGACTGAGAAGGCTTTAGGGGTAGTATATTGATTCCTACCAAGAGTCTTGCCTTAGCTAAGAATCTTTGGTCCATTATTGCCTACGTCTGCAAACAAAAAAGATGTAGAGACACCAGTGGGGTATTCTTATAATGCATTCGTCTTAATTCAGATGAAACTTTGACGAGCTTGAATGGGCGTTTTTTATTTTGTTAGAGAATTTTCAGAGTTGAGATCTACAACTATCGGTGACTGATAGTAAATTATGCATATGTGCGAGCAGGAAATTGATAGAGTCGAGCTATCTAAGCTGAACTTCTTGCCTTCTGAACACAGTGAGATAGAAAATATCCCTTGAAATAATTTTGATGCCTAAGTTGGTGATCAAAGTAATAATAGAGCTGGGGAGTTATGGGAGGGAGAAGCAGTCAGTTAGTTACCTTCAAGTATGACTGTATGAGAACGGCCCCCACGTGAATGAGCTGGTGGTTGGCGCCTCTTCCTCGGGACCGTTAGGTCCTGGGGTCGAACCTCCGCAGCAACATCAGTTCGCCGTGCATTTAACGTACTAGGTCCGGTTGGGGCGCTGGGCCGGGCCGAAGTGGGGATTAGTCGGGCCGCCTTTACGGACTTGACCCGGACACCCCACTCCGTCGACAAAAAAAAAAAAAAAAAAAAAAAAAGAGAACGGACTGGCATTTATTATAGTCCATGGGATTAGTACGGATTATGGAAAATCGAGGAGCATTTATGGCTATAAGAGAAATCTTTAATCAGCCCCTAAGTAAGTCGCGTTTGGATTTTTATATTTAAGAGATTTTGTAAATAAAAATATATTATAATGATTTGATGTATAAAAAATAAAATAATAATTAAAAAATATATTTATAAAAAATTTAAAACTTTTTTATAAAAATCACAATTCAAAATTACTGTCACAGTAAGTAGCAGAGCATTACATCAGCCAGCTCTAGTCTGACAAAGAGGCACATCTCAGCTATGCCAAGTTACCATGGGCATAACCAAGAGTGCGAGTATTTCCCTTTCCCCTTTCTCTCACATCGGTCCAGTGAGGGTTGAGTGAGTGAGATTTAAGTCCTTTAGTCGAACCCAAAAGTCAGTAATTACATTTTGGATTGGATTGAGGATCAGATTTAGATTTCTTCCATTTAACGTTTGTTGGAAAGTTACCATGGGCATCAAATGATAGCCTCGGAAAGTAATGGTAGGCGAGGCTATGGTTTGGATCCTACATTGCACGTTTATGAAAGTCGTGGAAGAGGCATGAAAAACGTTCATAGATACCGTTCTAATGGTCTTTTTTTCTCTTGCTCCATAAACTAAGACAAATATGTTAAACATGCTTTGGAGCATGTTTGGGCATGAGTTATTATTAACGGAGGAAAATTAAAGTTAAGCAAAGCAACAATATTATACTCTTTGGAGCCACCTCTCATCGTTTGATGCACTTGTGACAAGACGTAGTTAGACAACTACCTACTTGAAAGAGAAAATAGTGCAACGAAAAGCCAAAAACACAAAAAGAAAATTATATGTAGAGGCATTTCAATTTGGATAGCACTGTGCACAACTTGTTTTACATGGGTCATACCTATCATGTCGAGTCAAACGTACACCTAAAAGAGGGATTGAAAAGCTTTGTAATTTTGTTTTTACCACAAAGTAACCGAGATTTCATTATAGCAAACTTAAGAATCTTTACACAGTAATTTTTGTTTACAGCAATGATAATATTTTTATAATCTAATCCACTCCTAATTTACAGAGGGGAGTCTAAAGAGACTGTGTATAAAGGACTAGTATGTATAAGAATCTGACTAAATCAAAGGGGTGCTTTGGAACCTCTTTTGGATTTTTTTTTTTTTTATACACAGTAATGCTTGTACAAAATTTGGAAGCTCCAACTCCCACTCTATACGGTAAGATACTAATTGCACATAAAGCCCCAAGCAATGGACTATTTGGTAGCTTCCCTAATAGTCCAGCAAATTTTCTTAATTTGGACTTGTTGGAGGAACAATTTGGCATCAGATTTCAACCTGCCCCAATACTTTTTCCCCAAATTTAAGATTTTAATATTTATCTATCCAATTTTTAGGTGGTATTACATCACAGTCCACCGTAAATTTATTGAGAAAATTATGATGAGTCTCTTGTTGATTTGCACTAGTATCTGGCTAACATCTTATATCTACAATGACGACTCAACATAAAATAGAAATCCTGAGTTATAATACATGCAAGTTTTCCAAATCTTTTTCTTTTCTTGCTATGCTTTTACTTGAAAGACAAACAAAAGAGGAAGAGAGGTAGATGACGAAAGTAAAAATCTGAAGTGTACGTTTGCGAGACGTAACGAGTGTATTATACTAGGACCTTCATGCAGAGTGTGTGCTAGTTTGATTATTTCAAACCATAATTTTTCTCTATAATTAGTTTTTGCAAACTTGGAACAAACTAGAACAAACTCGTAGTACGCTAGTTCGAAGGAGTTAGGATCTAGGCAACTTGAAATCCTAAACTAGTTCGACTACATTTTTGCAAGCATCATGAATGTGTTTAAAACTAACCTTGTAAGACATATTATGTATAGTTTTACAAGCATATTTGCAACAAAAAGGTAATTTTATAGGAGTAAATCTTATATATATATTGACGGTTTATATACTATCAACGTTGGATTCATGACATATGTGCAAAGGTTGAATTTCAAATTTAAACGTTACATACTTGTTATTCATCCAATACTGACAGTGTATAGGAAAGATTAATTCATTTTATACATATAGAAATTTATTCACAACAAAAGTATTGAAACTAAATTAACAAAGAATAGTTGAGATCTAACTTGTTTTAGAATAATCGATGCATATGTTTTTCAAAAAAATAAAAAAGAATAACCGATGCATCTATATAAAGCCAATTAACTGAATTAAGTACTTGCGAGTCGCTTTTTATAAGCAAGATGCTAGTGAATAGGTTACCCACTAAAAACTATCTTATCAAACTACTAAAATACAACTAAGTAGGGTTGTAAACTAATCAAATCCTTAATGAATAGTTTGAACTCGATTTATTAAAGGTTTGTTTGACTTCAATTTTTAATGAACTCGAGTTCGACTTCGAACCGATATTTTGAAAATCTAGCCCGGATCGCTCAATCGAACCGTCGACCGGATAGTTTTTTGGGCTAAGTTTAGGCTGAAACCAATTAGTCAAAAAACTACTTTATTTTGAAAGAACTAGCTGCACCGTCCAGTTCAATCAGTGAACCAACAAATCGGGACAATTTTCACTAAATCGTCTGGATCTTGATTTCAATTCAAGAAGCAAGGCCCACTCTTGATACACGTTGTGCAGCTCCTATCTACTTTTCTTATATTTTTCATCTAATCCTTTTGTTTTATTTAGATTACAAAGCCACCCTAAATTTTTGCAATATATATTATTGTGGTATTTCACCTTCTAAAAATTATAGTTTAGTTCTAAATTATTTAAAACTTCAAATTTTTTTACTAAATTTTATATTTCTATCTAAAAAACATTATTGCAATTCTACTATATATATTGTAGCTTAATTTTTGTATAAACTTTTCAATTTTTATTCATAAATTCGTAAGCTTTTTTATTTTTAATATTATAAAATATCATGTTTTATGAGAGTTAGTCCTTTTTTAGTTTGTAATGATCCATATAATAATAAAAATAACATATTAATTATTTATGACATATTTATAACATCATGGGTCAATAACGGCTCGATTACAGTTGGCCTAACAATTGAACCAATAACCCTTGATCCAATAAGATTTTCGGTTCACTAAACGGTCTAGGTTTCAAGACCTTGCTTCAAACAAGAGTTGATATTTGATTAAAATATCAATCAAATATGAATTTGTATATATTTAGTTTGTTAAGGCTCACAAGGTTTGACTATATTTTTATATTTTTGCTTAATATTTTACAATAATTTATACATTTATTATTTTATAGTGTAGATATTATATATGCATTATTGATAAAATTATATTAAAAATTTGTAAAATTAAATAAATTTTTGAGCTCTCAAATCGAACTTGAGCCATTCAAATGTTAAATCGAGGCAAACACCTAAGTTCAAAAAGTTAATCATTTTAATTCAATTCATTTACAACCCTACAACCAACAACCAGTGTTTTTAGAATCGAATCAAACCAGTCGATTAAATCAATTGGACCCCAAACTGGCCGTGGTGCCGGTCCGATTCTAAGAGAAACCTAGGAAGTTAAAAAAACCAATTAGAGCCGGTCGAAACCGCTAAATCGAAATGAATCAGTTAAAATTGGTCAAGTCTCGTTTTTTGAATTTTGACTTGGACTTTTTTGTGGGTTGCTCAATTTTTGTAAGCTTTTGGGCTTTGTCAAAGCCAAACAACTATAGCTAATAGTCATCTAGTACAACTAAGTTGATTAGTTAACTTGATGGGCCAATATTTCTCTCAATAAAAAAAAAATCTTAGTTAGCCCAATTTAAAAACACGAGAGTTGCAAACGAATCGAATTAAGTCGAATTTTGAATTTATAGAGTCTAAATCAACTTGTTTATGTGTGGGCTCAAGTTCGAACCCGAGTTCGACAAGTCAAGAAATTGGAGTTCAATCTGAACTCGACTAAGGAAAAAGCAGGTTCAAACTCGAGTCAACAAGACTTGCGAGCTGAAACTCAATTTTTGGCTTGTGAGCAATTCGAATTGTCAACTTGAGTTGTGTTCGATTTTCTAGATCACAAGCAGGTCAAAGTCAACTCGAAATTGTATTTAGGAAATCGGAATTATTGTAAATTGTAATTGATAGAGAGGCAATTATGTAATTTCATATGCACTCGAGCTAATCAAGCGGCTCGTCAAGCTATCGAGCTTGCGAAAATATCAATTTCGAACTCGACTCACATATGATAACAATCCACTGATGTTTAACTGGAGCTCGGTCTAGTTGTATGCAGCCTTAAATCCAACTAAAAACTTAAAAAACCTTAATTCTTACTCTTCCAAAAATCTCACATCTGAGAGCCATACTCCAATCTCACTCATCTCCCTT